ACCAATCCATTAGTGCTCTATATTAATTTCAGCTGTTCTAATTGTTTAATAAATCACTTAATAAAGGAGTGGGCTTGTTAGGTGTCAAATATCTATCAGTCAGCTGCTATCCTGCTTGGAAAACCCTGTCGAGCTTAAAAAAGGCCGGAGAAACATCCAGCCACAGTGAAAATAATGCAACAGAGATTCTCATACTCACATAAAGGACTCACCTGCTCTATAATACTGGGACATCTCCTTCAAAACCAGCCATATACTTGATTTTCTTTAAGCTCACAGACACTGAAAAGCAGCTCAGTGCTACCAGAACACTTCCAGTGTAGGTGCCCTTTGGCAGGTTTACGCTTGGAAAACACAGCACGAAAACAAAAACCTGTTGTGCTCCATCACTGCAGGCAAGACCCTGTGTCTTAGGCAGCTAAAAATACTAACAGTGTATTAAAAAATAGGCGGTATGTTGGCACACGAGGCTATGGGATGAAGTCAATAGGAAATGTACCTTTAGCTCTGCATCCAAAACTCGGCAGCATTTCACGTTGTTGTGTAACTCTTTCGTTAGTAAAAAGCTGGAAGCCCTTATGAAGCTGAACAACTTGTACAAACTACACAAAATTCTCTGTATTCTTCCACAGCTTTCCTGCTCTTGCTTTCTTGAAGGAGATTTCTCTGCTGCCTCTTGATGCTGAGCCCACTGACCTGCACCTTTTCACCCTTCATCTTTATCTGATGCCAGCCTGGCCAATTTCCTAAGGTACGTTAGAAATGTACATGGAATATGGGAATAATTAATGCTTGTATTTGAAAGAAAGAGAAAAAAAAAGGGACATACCCAGACAATTATGATGCTTAAAATGAGATGATGATCGGTTTACAAGCTGGTGGCATGGGTCATCATCATCAACTATTCAGTAACAAGCTCAGCTCACTTACATTTAAGGAAAAAACCCAACACCACAGCCCAAGATCGAAGTTCCAAGAAGTAATTAGAGAGAAAAGAAGGTGAAAAAATAATTAGGAAGATTAGTGTCAAAAAAAATACATTGCAGGAATCTTTATCAGTTGCCAACTTTTATCAGTTGTATTTTGGAATAAACGTCAGACCGTTTCAGCAAGCACCTACGCTGTTTTACTGCAAAATCAGCACGGGGTGCTTTTAAAACTGTATAAACTACGAAAATACGAGAGCAAGAAAGGGAGAGGCAGCGCCTGAGATGCTGCAGGAAGCAGAGGAAGGGAATTAAACGCACCTGACTCAGCGCTCAGCTCATCCAGCAGCCCCCTGGTTCTCCAGGCCGGTCCCGAGTCCTGGTTTCCTAAAGAATTACTGTGCTCTTGAACGACCGCAGCCGCCAACAGATTGTCCACATTTACCACTTCGGGGTCCGAGTTTGTGTCCGAAATGTCGTAATGAGCTACAACTGGAGGTCCATCTGCAGGAGGACAGAGAAGCAAGGGGTATGAGAAACCAGCGTACTTGAAAAGCAGAGGTAATTTGTTTAAGGATTAATGCAATCGTGTCTACATGAAGCTCTTACAGAACGATGAATCATATGAATTATTAAGCTTCAGTTAATGAACATTCTGAGATTACAGAGACATTTTAACATTCTGCATAAACGGAAAACACAAATGTAAGGAAAACGAGTTTATCAGTGCATCAGTTATTTGTGTACTATCCTGCACATTAACACAGAAACATCTCCGTATCTGACGACGTTACATTTACAACCTCAAAAGGATAAAACATTCAGTTTAGAGTAAAAAATAATAAGTTACAGGACATTAAATTTGGCAAGACAAGGTATTTATCTAGAGAATGTTACAAAACTCGAGTGACAGCTCACATTACTCTAGGGTTGATTCAGTAAAACTAACTTTCTGATATAGCTGATCCAGCGACAATAAATTTAGCATTGGACAACTTTCCTTGCATAACATCTGCCTGTCAAGGACGGGAAGTTTTCAAAATGGGGATGGCTTTTGGTGTTGGGCTTGGGGTTTTTTTTAAGATCAAGAATGACAAGAAACAAAATTACGATGTGCAGTGATAAATATGCTTTTAATTCGATACGATTACATCTGCATTTCTGGTGAAGGGGGAAAGAGAAGAAATTGCCTGCGTGACTCTGAACTCTATTACTGAGGGAAAAAAAAACCCTGATTTTGGTCTATTTTGTAAGGATGGACTGTTTTCTTTGAGGAAAGAAGAGACTCGGGGAAAAAGTCAAATTCAAGACAAGGTTTAACGTGGAAGCAAAGAGAAAGCAGCTAAATATTGTAAATCTGAAAGGGCGCACATTTTGACTCAAAAGCCTCCCCTCGGCTATGGCTCATCCCCTCGGAGGGGATGGATGTGGTCGGAGCCCCCACTCCCCAAATGACAGGATCAAAACTTCCTGTGGGCCAAGACATTATCCACAAAAATGAGTACGAAATAGGACCAAGCGGGCTCAGCAACTCGGCACTGCAGCTCTTGGACTCCAAGGAAGTGGGCGAGTGGCTCTTTTGTTACGGGTATAATTAATATGGGATAATATAAAATAATAATGAGTACGGGAGGGTAGGACCCTCAGAGTTACAAAATGACTGAAGAAACCTTTAAAAGTCACAAGAATAAAATGAAAAGACTTTTCAGGGAAGACCGGTTTCTTTTGGGAGCGTTAAGCGGCTGCTGAAGACAGAAAGAACACGCACTGGAAGTTCCAAATTCAGTTCTCTGAAAAGCTGTTTTTACTGAGGTTTGCAGGGTGGGGTGTTTTGGTTTTCGGGGTTGTTTTTTTCTGTAGCGTGGTCGCTGAAACGTAATTCAACCCCCTACTTTGAGAAACGCCTGTTCTGTGACTAGCAACACAGTTCATTAAAGAGGGACCGTGTTGCTTAAGCGGTACTAAAGACCGGTTTTGCAACAAGGCATGAAGAAATTCACAAAAAATATTCCCGAAAACAACAACTTCATAAAACAACGTTGTATTACAAACTTAAAACAGACCCGACAAAAAATAGATGGGGTAGTTAAATGCCGATGTATTAAAAGACCAAAACTGTTCTCAACGCGAAACGCTGATGATTACGACTGGAAAAGGAGTCCCGATAATTAACTGGAAGGCAATCTCTGTCTTTTTAAAAGGCAATTACAAAATAATGGGGTTCAAAACCAAGCTGGCTGATGTTCAGTTAATTATTTGTGAAAGCCGATGGTTAAATTACGTGCAGGAGTTGCAGCTGGACTGGATCACGGGGCACGTTTGCGTTCAGTCTTATCATCAGAGTTCAGCGTGAACAGATATAATGTGGTCTATAAAAATAAACAGTCGAGTGCAGAAGATACGAGGGTCAAGTACAATATTGACTATTTGACCATTTTTTGGATAGGTTATCTACAATTTCAGGAGCTATGAACTGTTCCTGCAGGTCTTTTGTTTCCCTCGCTTCTCGCTAAGGTCTCCAAAAGCAGAAGCGAATTTTAATTTCGGGTGGACGTGTCTACACAAGTAGAATTACATCTGGACAAAAGGCACCAATAGTCTCAAGTCAAAATTGTACCACTCCTACATGTATAATCATGCAAAAATGTATAATAAATGTATATACATGCAGAGTGATATTCTCATCACCTACCCATAGAAATAACTTGTGTGAAAGTCTTCATCAGTAGGAAATACAAGCATAAACTTGTTATCTGTAGCTCCACTCTTGTATCTTCCACACTTCCAAACAGCACACCTTATAACTTAGCTTAAATTTAGTATACATCAAACAGACAAAAATATTTTCAATATAATTTACATACTGCAATTATATTTGCCAGTGCAATTTAACAATCTGGAAAAAACAAGCTGCCTGTTTACAAAGCAGTCACAGCACGGATCTCTTTTCGCTTTCCTCAGCCTTGCCTTTTGGGTTCAGATTTGGAAATGAGAGGTCCCTGACACCAGGGTTATCCACACCTATCACCAGTAAATGGCCGAAGAAGAAATAAGCAATAAATGCTCATGTGTGTTTAAAAGGAAAATAAATACATATGTAAGTTGCAGGCAACTAAAACTAGATGAAAGTTGCAGCAAAAGCGTATTTTAAAAAAAATCCTCCATTCCTAAAAGCCTGTGACCTTTTCAGTGCTACAGTGACAGGACAGGAGGGGTTAAATTTGGAAATAAGTAATACTTCCCTAGCCAACGACGTGACCATCTGATGATGTGATGCAAAGTGAATGCGTGGTACCGAGAAATAAGGACAACTGGCTTCGGCTGGGAAGTTAGTGGGGGAAAAAATACATGTTCACGTTGAAAAGGTAAAAGGATCCACTACAACCAGAGCTGGAACTTACTGTTTTCTTTACAGTAAATTTACTCCTCGTAATTGCTAACAGGATTTCAGCAGACAGAAAAACAGACACCGAAGGAAGCCAGAATCCAAACTTAATGCAGCACAATTAGGGGTCAGTAATTTAAACAATCTAATTAAGGAAAAAACACGTCTTTTGAGAAGCCAAGGTATCTGCAAGACTTACATTTCCCCGGTGACAAGCTTTAATTCATCTCTAACGCAACAAATGCTTGAAAAAGACAAGGCTGAAAGTTAGTAAGTACCAGCAGCAAAATACGGCTGTTGACATTTAATGTTAACAGGGGGAGGGAAAGCCTGCTTTGTACATTTATTTATTTTTAAAGAATTCAGAGGCAGGGGTCACCACGGGGACAGCACTTCCGAGCGCCCAATTCTCCCTTAATTTACACAGCCCATCGACACTAAATCCGCTCAGGAAGCCACAGGCACAAAAACCCAGGCCCACACGTATCGGCTTCCATTTTTAAGCTTGCGACGCAGAAAACGCGGTAATTTCTTATCTGCTACCCCCTCCCACGCTGTTCGCAGAGCCGCATCTCAACGTTCGCCGGACTGAACCGTAAGATCCAGGCTCCTATTATCCCTCAATTCATCGTAACGGGAGCGCAAGCAAAAAAGGGGGAAATCAACCGGAAAATTTCAGCTGCAGGTTAAAAGCAGCGAGGCTTTAAAAAGCGGCTTCAAAAAGCGCTGCACCTCTGCGTATCAATGCACAGCGGGACTTTAGCACAGGAAATAAACGACAGTGGCTGGCAGAGCCTGGATGGGGGGAAACTCACTCCTTTAAGTCATTATTTCTCTTTAGCTTGCTTAAATTTAGGTACGTAGTGCCAAGCTCATCGCTTAAAACTCCCTCCCACCGTGGGAAGAGACCGGAATTTGGGGTCAGGGAATCTCAGGCTGGAAATTGCAGCCTGGAGCACCATCACCTCCCCTCCCTCCCCAATGAGCAGAATAAAATTTGGACAGACACCTCAGATAGGGCACCCAACTTCCACCAAAACGAAATCCAACCTCGGGGATGGGATTTTGCTGCCGTTTCTCTACAAGCAGCAGAAAAAAGGCTGAAATCTCCAGAGGACTATCCTGCTTTAAGTGATTCCAAAATTAAATGCCTCATTTGGGTGGTCTGGATCGCCCTCTGGAGCCATCGGCGTCTTTGCAATGAAGAGAGCCCTTATTCAGGTGCGAGTGTCACCCTGAGCCTCAAAACACACGGGTCAGGTACAATAATAATAGCAAAAATAATTACAGCACTTTGTTCCTACAATAAAAGCGATAACAAAGGTTATTAACCTCCTCGTGCCTATGGGGGAAACTGAGGCAAGCCGAGATTTGCAGCTCGCTCAAGGCAAACAAGCAAACAACACTCCCTACACATTACTGAGCTGTATTTAACCGGTCAATTACCGTTAAAAATGGAGTTCAGGAAGGGTTTTGTGAAACATGCAGACGTTAAAAGGCAACACAGAGGCACCCAGGCCACAGCAAACCCAAGGAGCTCACAGGCTCCTTTCAGCCCCTGCACCTTCGCTGCGAATACGGGCGCTGCTTTATCTCCATCAGTCCTCTACATTAAACTGCATTTATTTTCATATAATAGACATCTTAATTTCACATTTTAAATTTCCTCTTTTAATTTCATATAATGAGACACTTTAAAACCGTAAAAGATCTAAGAATGCCCTCATCTGCACTTGGTGCTTAAATCGAAGAGGTAACTGAGCTGACTTAAAGCTAAAGCAAAATACAGAATGGACTTCAATGCCTGTATAAATTTGGAGATCAGAGTATCATTACGGTAACATAAATAATCTTATTTTGAATAGAAATAATCATTCTCTGTGCCAAAAACTAGAGGATTCATCCCAAGTGACCCGCCAAAATAGTTTTACAGTAGACAGATCTGTAACTCTGACCAAAACAGAAAAGCTTCAAATATCAGACTACAAAGGGACAATCTTTTAGGTTTATATGAAGAATACAAACCTGGCATTATTTAAGATATGAATCAGACGTGTGGTTTCGTAAAACACACGCAGTTCAAATGGCACAAATCAGCCGAACCCTAAAACAATTCCCA